GTGGCTCTTTCTGCAGATTTTGCTTTAATAAAAAATATAAAAATGAATGAATAAATTAATAAAAACCATATCTAAATTATGTGTTGAATGGTGTATATAATTTCTGCTAAGATAACTTGCTATGTGAATGTATTTGGAATGTTTTAAATTAATTATATACGCATTACACAACATACAGTACATAGGGTTTAGTAGCAGGTGACATTACTATATTGAAGTCCTCCAACCTGAAAGAAGCTCATCAGCATCTTCATACCCAGAATGCTGTTCTTCAGAAAGGACACTTCCTGTTATGGAGTAGAACCATCAGACACATGTTCACAATCACAAATCAGCCAAAACCCCCACTTCCTTTGGATCACTCAACACGAATACTATCATTTCAAATAACACTCAAGGTCCCACAAATAAATCAGTGTGATTTATTCCACTCATCCCTCTGTATAAAGTGATTATCCTGTTGATAACTACAAATCCAATACTATGACAGTTACTCACCCCTCTGAGTGAAGAGACTGTGTCTGTTAGTGGGTCTGTGCTGAATCTCCTCATAAACGGCCTCAGTTGTCGTCCTGTGTCTCCTCTTAGAGAGAGCTGTGAGTGTAGACAGACAAACCTGCTGTCAGTTCACAACACATGACTGATCACACACTGAATAAGACACAATATGACAGTCTCTGGATCTCTCCTACCTCTCCTCATCACTCTGTTCTGCTGAATCAGTATAAGCAGTGGCACTAAGAGCAGTAAGAGCACAACTCCCAGAACAATCACAAGCACTGCGGGGACGGAGAGAGACGCTGATGGAGGAGTTTGTGGAGGAGAGACTGATGTTGAGCGCACTGGAAGAGAAGCTGATGTTGTTGTGGCAGAAGTAGTGGACACTGACAAATCTGGAAAATCTGTCAAAACAGGCACAAGCATGTTCAAAACTATGACTATTCTGAATATACCAATATTACACACTTTAAAATGGTCTAAAAATAAATATTGTTCCTCTGTATTTTGCTGTGACCTGCACAGGTGAGGAGAGACGCTGCTGGAGGAGTTTGTGGAGGAGAGACTGATGTTGAGCGCACTGGAGGAGAAACTGATGTTGAGCGCACTGGAAGAGAAGCTGATGTTGTTGTGGCAGGAGTAGTGGACACTGACAAATCTGGAAAATCTGTCAAAGACACAAGCACGTTCAAAGCTATGAATGTTCTGAATATACCAATATTACACACTTTAAAATGGTCTAAAAATAAATATTGTTCCTCTGTATTTTGCTGTGACCTGCACAGGTGAGTCCAGCGTGTTCTTTGTGGGAGCAGTCGGTGTGGTTTTTCAGGGAGAGAGGACAGTCCCACAGGTGAATCTCATTCCCTCTGCACTCGACTCTGTTCATCCACACAACACCTTCACCAGCACCAAAGACTGAATTCCCATCAGCCCTCAGTGCTGCTCCACAACCCAGCTGCCTGCAGACCACCTGAGCATCGCTGATGTCCCAGTTATCATCACAGACTGAGCCCCACACAGCGTTATGATACACCTCCAGCCTCCCAGAGCACCGGCCCTCCCCTCCACTCAGTCTGAGAGGAAGATGCTCTAAAACACACACATCACAATAAGGTAGATACATTAATTAAGAGCAGAGTACTGTCAGAACAGCAGCGTTTGCACAGGAGTATGTGTGTGATCATTTGTATATTCCAAGATGAAATCCTGCTGGTTTCTCATATTAGAACACCATTATCTTACGTCCCTGTCGAAAAAACCAGCATATGCGGGTTAGATATGTTTTGAAGCATGGCAGCTGGTTTGAGTTGGTTTAAGCTGGTCCAGCTCATAACCAGCTCATGACAAACTAAGGACCAGCTTAAAGGGTTAGTTCACCCAAAAGTTTTAATTAGCCCATAAATTACTCACCCTCAAGGCATCCTAGGTGTATATGACTTTCTTCTTTCAGACGAATCCAGTCGGAGTTATTAAAAATTGTCTTTGATCTTTCAAGCTGTTTAATGGCACTCAGCGGGTGTTGCAGTGCATCAGTCCAAAAGAAGTTAAATAAAAAGCGCCCATCCATAAAAAAAAGTGTCTCACACAGCTCCGGGGGGTGAACAAAAGCCTCCTGTAGCGAATCGATGCTTTTTGTAAGAAAAATATCCATATTCAAAATGTAATTATCACTTTAATGTAGCTTGCGCCAACGGTTGTACATGGAAGCAGCTCCGGGCTGATGACGTATGAGGTCGGTGTTGCGCATGCGCTGGTGAGTCTCGTGAAAACCAATGTTTGTTAACAGGAGCAAAGGAAGCAAAGTTTCCTTAATTTAGCAAAGGAAAACCAGTCTCCTCTTGGCTTATATCGAAATCCTCTGACATTCTTCTTTACAAATCCTCGTTTTGTACTTCTAATTAGTGACCATTGTTTTGTTTTGATCTCTCTCTCCCCTGCGCTTCCGCGTTCGTCACTTCTGAGCAGCGCATGTGCAAAGCCGAACTCATACGTCATCAGCCCGGAGCTGCTTCCGTGTACAACAGTGAGCGCAAGCTAGATTAAATTGATTATTATGTTTTAAATATGGTTATTTTTCTTACAAAAACACATCGATTCGCTACAGGAGGACTTTGTTCACCCCCCGGAGCTTCTTTTGGACTGATGCACTGCAACACCCGCTGAGTGCCATTAAACAGCTTGAAAGATCAAAGACAATTTTTAATAACTCCGACTGGATTCGTCTGAAAGAAGAAAGTCATATACACCTAGGATGCCTTGAGGGTGAGTAATTTATGGGCTAATTTTCATTTTTGGGTGAATTAACCATTTAAACCAGCTCAAACCAGCTGCCATGCGTCAAAACATACCTAACCAGCATGTGCTGGTTTTTTCAACAGGGGTTGCATTCAACATTCATAATTTTCATGGTTGTTTCTGTTAAATGAATTTACCTGAACACTGTCTCTGATGGGGAGATGTGGAGCATGTTAGAGAGCTTCGAGGAAACTCATGGATCTGCTGTTCTGTAACAACAAATAAATTATTATTAAATGTATTCCACACATCTTCTCAAAGCACTAATAATAAAGGATAACTCTTGTATTGTTTACTGATGGAAAAAGCATCTGTTTTACCTGAGCAGATGATTGTGGCCACTTCATTGTCACCACAGTTATTCTGTCCCCAGAATGAAGATGGACACTGCCATAAAGAGGAATCATGTGGTCGACATGTTACTTTATCCAGCCAGTTACGAGCTGATTTCACTCTTGATGTAGAATCAGACAAAACACCAGATCTTCCACAGTTCAGCTCTTGACAGATCAGACTCGCTGTGTCTCTGTCCATCTTGTTGTAACACACATTTCCCCAGGATCCATTGTAGAAAACCTCCACATTCCCTTCACAGCCCTCAGTTAACCTGATTTCTTTAAACTCTACATAAAAAATGTCAATTTGAAAATCACAAATTTGAAAAATGTGAACATTATGGACACTTGAATTTTGAAATGTGTAAAACCTTATAATTAATTTCAGTGTAAACAATTTAGCAGCATGTTTACCTGAGCACACGACTCCAACATCCTCTTTGTGTTGACAGTCATGTTTTCCCCAGCCTGGAGAAGAGCAGCTCCACAGGGACGTCTCATTCCCCTCACACTCCACCTCATCCAGCCATATGGGTCCAGAACCAGGACCAAACCAGGCTGGTACCTGCTGGTTACTGAGGGCCACTCCACACTGCAGCTGTCTGCACACCACATAAGCATCTTTAATATCCCAGGAGTCATCACACACTGTCCTCCATGAGCCACTGTGAAAAACCTCCAGCCTCCCTGCACAGTCTCCCCCAGAACCCACCAGCCTGATGGACCCACGACCTGATATTCAGAGAGTGAAAAACACATTATTGATCACTAACAACTGAAGAATCTGTCCAGATGTTGTTGTTCTCACCAAGGCAGGTGATTGACAGCTGTTGTGTGGAGCTACAGTTGAGAGTTTGTGGAGAACTGCAGTTCCCCAGATGAGCTTCACTCCCAGAGCACTGGAAACCCGTCACACACTCATGACTGTGTTCAGGACTGGATGGAGAGGAGCCATAGAAGTTCAGCACAGAGCCACAGCCCAGCTGTCTGCAGACCACAGAGGATTCAGTGAGACTCCAGGAGTCCAGCAGAACTCTCCTCCAGACCTGATGTATGAAAACTTCCACCTCCCCCTCACACTGTCTCTCTCCAGACAACCGCACCAGACCATCATGAAGAGCCAGAGAGGAATCTGAAATGTGTTAGAATGTAATGAAATAGTGTTTATAAAATACATTAAAAAAAAAACACTCTCAAAGTCAAAAAAGTTTACCAGAGCAGATGACTCCAACATCTCGTCTGTGAGAACATTCAGCTCGACTCCATGAAGAGATGGAACATTCTGAGAGTTTTGTTTCATTCCCGTCACAATCAAACACATCAGCCCAGATTTCACCACTTCCCTCTCCAAACCAGTCTGATCCCACAACAGACACAGCAATCCCACAATTCAGCTGTCTACAGAGGACATTGGCAGCTCCCATATCCCAGCATGCATCACACACGGTGCCCCACTCTTTGAGGAACTGAAGATCCACTCTTCCAGAACAAGTGTCTGAGCCATTTATCAGTCTGAGATCAGTGTAACCTGAGCGAAGTAAAGAGAGTTCAGAAACAATGCATAAAACATTCTTAAGCTAAGCTGTCATTAGATTGATCACATTATAACTCAAACCTAAGACATGACCTAGTATCAAAAACAAATGAAGAGATGCTGAATATTGATACTTAACCAGAGCAGATCAGGCCCACAATGTTGTCAAAGGTGCAGTTGTGTTTGAGTGATGATACTGAACAGAATGAAATATGAGATTCATTTCCTCTGCACTGAATCTCTTGTGTCCACATCTGAGCGATTCCTTTGCCAAAAGCAGCTGCTCCCAGCACCTGTACAGGAGCCCCACAGTCCAGCTCTCTACACACAACCTCTGCATCCTGCTGGTCAAAGGCAGCATCACACACTGAAACCCATGTCTGATCATGAAGTATCTCTAACCTCCCAGAGCAAAGATTAGACCCATCAGCAAGTCTGGAGCGTTTATGACCTGTTTATATTGCATAAAAGTGAGCATTAGGTGAGCAGGTTTTGGATGTGGCAAGTTTTACATCCAATTACATTTTCTACATATATACATTTTTAAATGTTTGCTGTAGGACATAATGAAAGGGTTTTCTAATTGAATTTCCCAAAAATGAAAATTGTAATCTCATTGTAGTTGTTATTCCCTGAAAATGCTTCTATATATCTTTAAATCATTGTGAAAATGCAGTAAAATAATCATGGCAAATTTACATTATTTTGAAGATGCCTAATTTTTAAGGTAATTAATTCTAAGAATAAAACAGACAAGTTTAAATTGGATATGCAGCTAACCACATCCAACAATATATATCTTTATTTTCTTACATAATCAAGACAAAATTATCAGAAAGTGAGGAATGCTTTGAGGTTTAACTTTATTCACCTGAGCATATGATACCAGCATCATGATTATGAGTGCAGACAGGTTTATTCCATCCTGCTGACCCACAGTTCTTCAGTGTAGACTCTGTTCCTAAACACATTAAAACACTCATCCAGATTGGTCCTGATCCTTGACCAAAATGGGCAAGACCCAGAGCATCTACAGGTTCTCCACAGTCCAGCTCTCTACACACCACTGCAGCATCAGGCAAATCCCAGAAATCACCACACACTGTTCCCCACTGACCTCTATGAAGAACCTCTACTCTGCCAGCACAAGGACTGTTACCATTTACCAGTCTCACATGCATTACATCTAAGAGAGAGGGAAATAGAGAGAAAGACAGAGACTAAATTCAATCAATCATTCTAAAGAGATGTCATCGTGTTTTAAATTGTTATAACTACTAAAAAAAAAAAAAAGCTGTGGGTGTGGTGAGGGCCACACCAAGTGCAATGGGACACATATGATCCTAGTTATGCTACTAATTTCTCTCATATTAATTTTACCAGCACACAGAAGCGCCTGGTGATCATCATGAGAGCAGCTGTGTTTCTGTGATGCTGGACACAATCGAATCTGAGACTCATTTCCTCTGCACTGAATCTCTTGTGTCCACATCTGAGCGTCTCCTTTGTCAAAAGCAGCTGCTCCCAGCACCTGTACAGGAGCCCCACAGTCCAGCTCTCTACACACAACCTCTGCATCCTGCTGGTCAAAGGCAGCGTCACACACTGACATCCACATCTGATCATGAAGCATCTCTAACCTCCCAGAGCAGCGAGAACCCCCAACCAGCCTGATTCCTGCAGTAGTGAGAGAAAATAAAATAAAAGTTACATAACCATTGTTATCATAAACTTATAAACAACCACATAATAACTTTGCAAATAAATAACATCTACAAACATTATTGTACCATTCAATAATGCTGACAGATCATTATTTTATGTGCATTCAAATTGTTACAAATGTTATTAAACTTTGATACATATATTTTGTTTTGTGAATGTAAATGAACTATTGATACTATCATTAGTCTTGGCCTTAGACAACACAGACGAACACTGAAGGTGTACGGTACTTAATGCCTTTTTTGGAAGGAAAACGGGCAAACACTTGTGATATTGGGCTTGTACAATAAAAGAACTGAGGAAGAACTAATCATTGCATTGTTTGGATTAACATTTACATTGTACTTTTATGCATTTGGCACACATTTATGCACATAGAAAAAGCTACTTACAGATGCATTTAAGATTAACATTTTATCAGTTCATGCATTCCCTGAGAATTGAACCTATGACCTTGGTGTTAAAAAATCAATATAAAACTTTGGAACTAAAATATAAGGCATGTACATCAACAGTGCTGTAATAGGTTAAATTTTAGAACAGCTCACCTAAGCAGATGACTCCAGCATCTGTATCATGATTACAGTTATAATCATACAACTGAACTGATCCACAGTTCTTCAGTGTAGTCTCTGATCCAGTACACAACATACGATTTGTCCAGATTAGTCCTGATCCTGGTCCAAAATGAGCATCACCCAGAGCATCTACAGGTTCTCCACAGTTCAGTTCTCTACACACCACTGCAGCATCAGCCATATCCCAACCAGCGTCACACACTGTTCCCCACTGACCTCTATGAAGAAGCTCCACTCTACCAGCACAGTGACTGTGACCACCAACCAACCTTACATTCACACTGTCTGTTTATTGAATACAGAAAACAAGAGAAGTAATACTTATGAACAGAGCAAACAAGACAGTAAGAAGAATTTCATAAAAAGAGAGAAAAAAAATCTTTCATACAAAGAGTAAGAAGATTTGACATAAGATTTCAGTGAAGTAAAAGAAATTTGCTCAAACCTGCACACACCAATCCAACATCATTATCATGTGAACAGTTGTATTTGTGTGGCAGAGATGTTGGACAGAGGTGAATCTGAGACTCATTTCCTCTGCACTGAATCTCTTGTGTCCACATCTGAGCGTCTCCTTACCTGAAAAAAAACATGAGTATGAATTAACCTTTCAGAACAAAACATGCACTACTTTTTTTTTCTTTCTTTTAACAAAAATAAAGTTTTGTGTTTACCTGAGCAGACGACTCCAGCACTCTTGCTCTGACACACACCTTGTAAACCCCATATGACAGATCCACACTTTTTCAGTGTGGACTCAGATCCAGCACACATTGCATTATTCATCCAGACTGGTCCTGATCCGAGTCCAACCTGAGTATCACTCAGAGCATCTACAGGTTCTCCACAGTCCAGCTCTCTACACACCACTGCAGCATCAGCCATATCCCAACCAATGTCACACACTGTTCCCCACTGACCTCTATGATGAACTTCCACTGTTCCACTGCAGGGACTGTTTCCATTAACCAACCGCACATTTATTATTTCTGTGCACAGCAAGGGAAAAAAAGTTGGACGAGAACTATCAAAATTAAATATTTCCAGTTGAAACGGTCAACACATACCTGTACACACAAGTCCAACATCATTGTCATGAGAACAATTGTTTTCATGTGATTGTGATGTTGGACAGAGGTGAATCTGAGATTCATTTCCTCTGCACTGAATCTCTTGTGTCCACATCTGAGCGTCTCCTTTGCCAAAAGCAGCTGCTCCCAGCACCTGTACAGGAGCCCCACAGTCCAGCTCTCTACACACAACCTCTGCATCCTGCTGGTCAAAGGCAGCGTCACACACTGACATCCACGTCTGATCATGAAGTATCTCTAACCTCCCAGAGCAGCGAGAACCTCCAACCAGCCTGACCTCTGAAAGAACATAAATAATTATAGTTCTGTCAGGACCACTATTGTTAAAATGACACTTAGCATACAGTTTGGGTTGGCGGTATGGTTCTGTTTTGGGTAAAAACTCCTGCAATAACCCCGTTAGAGTAAACAGAACAGAACCAAATTGTGATATTCTTGGTGCAGCAAATGTAGAGACAGGATGAACAATTAACATGTATTTTATTTACAGGGTCACATCAGCATTCAGCAACTAGCCATCTAGTTCTTTGGTCAACCACACCTCACAACCACCACCGGAAACCCCTCTACCAGGAGGAAACAGGTAACACAGCACAAACCCTCTAGTGGTTAGACTACATATAACACTATGATTTACTACATCCCCTTCCCCCTGATAACATTAGTTCAATCCTTAAGTCACCAATGCCAACATTCTTATTACAGCCTACTGTAGTAAATCAGCCCAAAAGGGAAATATTTATGACCAATTATAACTGGTTATGATTAATAATAAATATTTAGATTAGATCTTAGAATTAACTGTAGCAGAATCAATATTACAATTATTTGATCTGTCCGTCCACCGAGCAGACAATATAATAATTTATCAATTCAAGGACAGATTATTTTCCTGGCCAAGGAAAGTAGCTTTCCTTCTTTATGCAGTGCTAGCAGTAATTTAGCATGTAGCAAGGGATCAACATTCAGTGACTTCGAATCATGATCAACGCACAGAGACAATCAGTTGTGAACATAAGGGATTTAATAAATGAAACTATATCTAACATAACTAAACTAAGCACAACACATATATACAGAATGAAGGAAAGTAAGGAAGAGAGAGAGAAAAGTAAAAGAATGGCAGTATTTCACATCAATTAACCACAACCTAATGAGAATCATCAAAGAATCAAAAAAGCACCTTAAAAGGGGCTCAAGCTTACACACGCATCTAAATAGTTGTTTGGCCGGTCTGGAATTGGTGCAGTTTTAACCCAAAATATAGTACAAATCCTATGATGCATTTCACAATCACATACTGTACATTATTGTTTGAGAAATAAAGAGCAGATACTATTGATACCAAGAAAGAAACATTTAGAATATATTAAACCAGAGATACATTCATAAACGCTGAATATCAGCATTTAGGGCTTAAATAATACAACTAACGAGTGGTAACTCAGCTAATCTAATAGGGAAACATACAAACAACACATGCATATACCAGATATATTTGTAAGTGATTAATTATTGTCTAAGTAAAGTAAAGCTCTTCATGTGTGTGTGTGTGTGTGTGTGTGTGTGCTGGCACCGGGGGGGTCATTTACTTGTCTTTGGAAACTGTTTGAAGTCAGCTGGGGAGACGATAGTGGTGGACTGCTTAGCATCTCCTTGATAGTGGGGAGAATTATTTGGCAATTTAGCCCCCATATAAATGTAAAGTCTGTGACCAGGACTGTAATTTATATGCAAATGTCAAAGGCTAAAAGGGGTCTCTTAAGCCATAAACCCCAAAGACCATGCATGATTTTACACAGACGCTACACTACTAATGTTAATTGTTACTAGTATTTCTTATTGCCCTGTGGCTGGGGGACTCACTTCTATACTACGCATAATCCCGTAGGTAACGTGGTGTTTTTTTTGTTCTTGCTGACCTCCTTAACCCTTGCTTTTCCTCCTCACATGGAGACTCTGACAAAGTCACCTTGGTGGCCTCTGCCTCTGTCTGCTCCACTTTATTGTCTATTGAGATTACAACACCAGAACAGGGTGTCAACTGGTTCACATCTTTCTTGAGTGGCTCTTCCAAACCCAGTGGCTTCTCTGTAGATCCCTCATATCTGTTCCTCACCTGATCAATATGACGGCGCACAATCTCACAATCTCTACTGTGCTACTGTGCATGACACTGGTGCAGTCTGTGGGTGCGAGCCGCGACACTAGCCTTCTAAGCCAGTCTCTGATCCTCAAACCGAGATGGGCTAGGACCCCTGGGTTGTTCGGGCTCAGACCTGGACTTCGTGAACGCCACTATCCCGGTCTTTCAGCAGGTCAGCCTGATATGCTTGGAGCATCACCATCGTGTGCAATGAAGCGTCATACGCAGGGCAGGAGGATTGGGAAGGCTCAGCCTCAGCTTCTTTGCCCTCCTCAGACATTTTCTGCTTTTGCTGGGCTGATCCCAGCAGAGCACTGGCCCCTGAATCAGACAATGTTAATGAAATAACATCCTCCTCCAGCGGCTCACTCTCGTGCACAGCCGACAATCGCGAAAGGGAAAACCTCTCTTCAAACTCATCGGCCAGATCCACGCTTCAAACAAAACAGTCAATGAAGACGAAGAAGAGAATGATGTGTGCTCCCGGCGCCTATTTATACTATAGTCGCACCGGTAGTGACGTCATGGCAGTCGCCGGCCAAGGACTTGGTGTTTTTTCACGACGAGGCGTTCCCCATAGCGACTCCTAGAGGACGCAGTTCAAAGTTCCCATGAAAAGGAACCCCTCCACCAGGGGGAAACAGGTAACACAGCACAAACAGCCCTCTAGTGGTTAGACTACATATAACACTATGATTTACTACACAAATGTAGCAGATATCATTAATGCTCTTAATGACATTTTAATGTAACAACCAGTGCTATCAAAATTAGTGCGTTAACGCATGCAATTAATTTTTCCAGTTTAACGGCGTTAAAAATATTTATTGCAGTTAACACAGGGGCGGAGCCACCCCTCTCACAACTGCTGCTTCTGTCTCTTTTTTCTTGAATTGCGCTTTAGACGCAGAACATCTTTACGACAACACGAAACAGGAGACTTTTCAGGCGCGCACTCCAACTTAACCTCAGCGAAGTCAACGAGCCTGGAAAATGTACAGGTGACGAGGGAGCTTCAGTAGAACAGTGAAGATGAGATGTTATCAGGAGGGGAGTCCAAGATGGCTACCTGATCAGACGTGTTTTTACGAGCTCCTGCACCATCTGTGTTTAGACAGTGCAAAAATAACTTTTTATTAATTGTATGCCTTGTGTGTTATTTTGTTATGTTTTTGACTTGATTTTTTCCCCTATATTGCATTGCCATGGGGCGTAAACGTGGTCATTTGAACAACTCTTCGGCTGATGCTAAGGTGGCTATGGTATTAACGCGTGCTCACCAGCCAGCAGTGGCTATGATCACGTTGTTTCTTGCGCGAGCGAGAAAGATGCGTTCAGTTTAGCTGAAGAGGAGTTCCCTGCATTGCCTATCACCCCGAGTAAACCGCCAGTCATAAAGAAAAGAGCAAGTGACGACACTCGAGCTGATATATCGACACAGCTGTCAGGCTTAACACAGCTGATCAACAGCCGCTGGTTGATGGAATAGAGAAAAAGATCTCGGAAATGTCAGCTGAACTGAAGGCCGTTGTTGAGAAGGTTACTAGTCTTGAGCGGCGTATGGATGATGTTGAATTGCCTGTGGCTCATATGCAGCGGAGGATGGATGATATGGAAACATATTTGAGAAGACGTAATTTGAGGATAGCCGGGATTCCTGAATCTGCGCATGAAGACATTCGGCTTGAGGTGGTCAAAATCTGCCAAAATGTTCTTCCTAGTGCAAAGGACAAACTCTCGGATGTTATTGACGTGGTCCATCGTCTCGGGAAGTTGCAACAAGATGGCACGAAGCGTCCCAGGGTGACCATTATGCAGTTCTCTGTTCACTCTTACAGAGACGGTGTTTGGAAGGCCACAAAGAATTCTTCATATCTGAAAGAGAACGGTCTGCTTTTCATGGAAGATTTCTCAGCGGGAGATCGTGAAAGGAGAAGGAAGCTGTGGCCAGAGGTCCAAAAGGCACGTGCGGAGGGGAAGATGGCATTCTTCGTCGGAGGCAGAGCTTTCATTGAAGGGCAGGGAGAAATCATCCTGCCTAATTAAAGTGCTTTCATCTTAATAACAGTCGCTGCCAGTTCTGATTTTGACTGATCTGTCAGGTGCACTTTTCAGACATTGATACGGGTGTGTTGTATACATTTTAGAGACTGCCTCAAAATTTTTTGTTACAGTTCTTTTTGCAATTTTTGATATTCAATGTGGAGCTGCTGTTTTCAGCATATTTTTTTAACTTTGTGACCTATTTTCAAAAAGATAGGGGGAAAAATTTAGTTCATAGAACTTAAAGCAGGTTAATTGTTTTAGTGTTTGTGAGTTCTGTAAATGTCTTTCTCTGTTGTGTCCTTAAATGCCAGGGGTTTAAGAGATGTTGTTAAACACAAGGCCTTATTTTTGTTTTCTAGACAGTTTGGTTCTGACTTCGTATTTTTTCAAGATTCTCATTCTAAAGATAATGATGGAATTTTTTGGAAATCGCAGTGGGGTAGTGAGTTATGGTTCTCTCATTGTTCGGAGCACTCTGCAGGGGTTTTCTGTTAAAAAAATTATTTTGCAGGGGATGTGTTGCACACATACTGTGATGAATATGGGCACTTTATTTTGTTAGTTCTGACGTGCTATAATCTGATTATTATGGGTATAACTCT